TTATTTATATAACCCTTTTGCTGATTTTTAAAGTGTTACATAAACAGAACAGGTGAAATATTATCATGTAAAGCAACCATAAACACATGAAAAGACCTAGGTTTACAATTTATGATGAAAACTCTACTATCTACACAATATACATAGACATAAAATGTAAAAACTTAAATATCTTAGAAATAGTAGCCAATCGGTTGTTTTAATTGTCATATTTGAATTCAGCACATCAAAATACATAATAAATAGCACATTTTATCTCTGAAGCAGAGGACTTCTCAAAAATTGTAGACCAGTGTTATTTGTACTGTTGTATGTGGGATTGTGTGTGTATATATGGTACAGGGATATGATTTGATGTGCAGTATGGGTGTGTAGTGTATGTGTCCAATAGAACTCACTAACATTCAGGTTGAATACAATGAACCTCCATTTGTAGGAAAATAGAAAGTCCCATTTTGTTTGAATGCATTGCTCTTTGCTGGACGGATGGATTTGGCTTACTTACTCCGCCGTTTACAAACATGAGTTAATTCCGCTTCACAACACCAGCAGCTTATCCCCAAAGTCACACAGCAAATCAGCGGTGAATTAAATCCAAAACTCCTGACTTACTGTCCCAAATTACTCCAAGCTCTAGCCAACACTCCCTACTTGGAGGTGTTTCTCTTTGCCTGTTACTTTTCTTACATTAGTACATTACTTAGGTTGTAAACTCTTCAGGGCAGGAACTGTCTTTTCATTACGTGCCAGGTGCTGTACAAACACAATGGGGCCCCTACGCACCACCCACAGTATAATAAATAATATAGCAATCATCATGTTATGTTCTACATCTTGCTTTGGAAATACATATTTTCAGTTGCAACAGAGATCAAACCCATCTCTATGGTTGTTCACTGACATAAATGATTGAGACAGTTCCACTACATACTGTTATGTCCATCAGTGTCTTGTAAGACAGGGAGCCCGAAGGCACCTAGCAAGAGAGGCTCACCGAATGAGGCCACGGGTGATTTCTGTATTCGGGATATCAAGCAGTGAAGGGCTTATTTCTACGGGTGCCCTGGGGGACACTGGGCTGCAGACATGAGTGTGCAGAAGCACCCGACGTATAGGTTAGAGAAGAAAACAAGAGTTCTTCATACATTCCTACTCTGTCTGTGTTTGCACCGACAGTGCCTGGGCTCCTGGCAAGCAGAGGACACAGCATGGGAACCGAGCAGCAAGACTCCCTTAACATACGGAACGGCAGTGAGCAGGGACCTTGCAAAGAATGAAAGGGGCGCCCTGGAGGGGGAAATCGCATCGGGCCAGTTCCTTGCCTTTAACCGTCTTACCAAGCTGCAGGGCTCTCGAGCCTGGCTGGAGCCCAGAAGCTGAAACTCAGCGAACTGGAGGGGTAATGTCCAGTGCTAACATTATTTCGTTTGGACAGTGTAAAAAACTCTTACACGGGAAAACCACAAACCCTCCCCCATTGGATAAAGAGCAAATGAACCTTGGCATCACCGGGCAATGGGTGCATTGTGAATCCACGGACAGCGTGGCTAGTACAGGACAAACTCATCCAAAAAACCAACAACAAGGAGTCCGGGGGCACCTTAAAGACTAACAGATTTGTGGGGGTTTTACCCACCAAAGCTTATGCCCAAAGAAATCTGTTCGTTTTTAAGGTGCCCCCGGACTCCTCGTTGTTTTTGGGGATACAGACTAACACGGCTGCCCCCGATACTTGTCGCTCATCCAAAATTCTTTGGGGAGTTTCAGATAAACAGCGCTGCAGATGCTAGAGGCTCGAAGGTTAGATTCTTCCTTTCCTTTAGCCGTGATGGGGGAGCGGGAAACATTAGCCTTAGTTTGGCATTTCCTCCAGGGCTGGCAGTTCACTATTCCTTCGCTGGGGGCTGGGGTGAGTTTCTGTTTGCTTTTCAGCTGGGAGGTTTATGGTGCGGATTAACCCCGGTCATTAGCACTTCCCAGCCCCAGAGCCCGGCACCAATCATCCTCACCCCCTCCTTGGCCATTCTGGGATTAGCCCAAATTTGCAGACGGGGTTCCCCCTGTGGCCCCAAGTGGGTGGCACGGCTGAGATGGGAGCTCCCGGTGCCTGTCTCTGGAGCTGCTGGAAGGACCCTGCTGGGCTCTAAACCCACCTCCCCGGTGCATAGGTGCTGGAACTAGAGGTGTGGCTGCCCCCCCCCCCCAGTAGCTTCCATCATATCCAGGGTTCACAGTTTGGTTCAAGGGCTCTCGCACCCCCCACCCCCACTGTGCAAATTTCTCCAGCCCCCCTGCCCCAGTGCGCCCTGACCCCCATGCCAGCCCCCCCACCCCGCACTGCCCCTCCCAGGTGCTGCCGCCTTACCTGTATTCCTCCTCTTTGCCCACGTCTATGGTCCCGTCCGACTCGGAGCCCGACCAGCTCTCCTCGCTCAGCCTCTTCATCCTCCGAGACAGCGGCAGGCAAACAGCCTCCTCTGCACCCTCCCCGCACGTGGGGCTGTATGGGGGGGGAACAGGCTGTCCCGCACGTGGGGCTGTATGGGGGTGTATGGGGGGGTTGTCCCGCACCCTCCCCGCGCGTGGGGATGTATGGGGGGAGAACAGGCTGTTCCGCACGTGGGGGCGATCGGGGGTGTATAGGGGCTTAGAGGCTCCCCCGCATGTGTATGGGGGGGAGGCTGTCCCGCACCCTCCCCGCACGTGGGGGTCTATGGGGGTCGTGGGAGGGGGGTTGGGAGCTGTCCCACCCTGGCCGGGCGCGGTGCGATCAGTCCTGTCTCCGCGGCCCTGCTCCCCTTCTGGGTCTAGGAAGGGAAGAGACGCCCCCCCCCCCCCCCTGGGAAGAGGAAATCGCCCCCGACGCCTGCGGGCAGCTCCTCCGCCCGCTCCCCTCCAGCCCCGTCTCCCTCTGCTCGGAGTGACGGATCGCTCGGCTGCTCCGGCTTTCCCAGGTTCCCACTCCCCTCCTGGCCCCCGCCTTGCCGTCAAAGGAGCAGCCCGTGTGAACCGACCCGGGTGCCCCCCCTCCGCCCCCCTGCCCGCCTCGGTGATTGGTCCGCGCCGCGGTTTAAAGGGACCAGTGACCTCACTGGCAACAGAAAACCGTGGGAAAGCGATGGGCCTGATAAAGCCCTGGCTTGTTGCAGGGAAAAATCAACATCCCGCCCCACACGCACAGCCGTCGGCGGGGCTCCAGCGGGTCCAGAGCCCTGGGATTCAGATGCAAACCAGCTTCGCCTAAGCTCCGGGCTGTTTTCAAAGGGCTCCGTGGATCAGTCAAGGGGCAGAGGCTGGGCTGGTGCTTTCAGTCCTAATCAGGTCATTAGAACAGCCACACTGGGTCAGAGCAAAGGTCCCTCCAGCCCAGTGTCCTGTCTTCCAACAGCGGCCAATGTCAGGCGCCCCAGAGGCAATGAACAGACCAGGGAATCACCCAGCCATCCATCAGGTCAGGACTGGAGCCCCAGCAGCCCCTGGGGATGAGACACTCCTAACCCCATCTAGCTGCAATTCAGAGCAGGTATTCTTCCCAGCCGGCTCTCCCTGTGCCTTGTCTTGTGGCTCTTCCTTTGTGACCCCGGGGACCAGATCCTCAGAAGTATGTAGGTTCCTAATTTCCATTGCCATCACTGGGAGTTAAGAGCCTAGCCTAGCTTACCCTTTTGTATCCTCTTGTGAAACATCACAGGCCCCTGTAACAAATGGCTTTTTCATCTCTCCTTGGCCACCTCACCTGCACTCTGCCCCCTAACTCTGTGTATTCTAATCTCTCAAATCCTTGAGCAACTTCCAAGCAGCTGCTCTTAAAGCAAAGAAACCTGCCAACGGATTTCTACCTTCTTTCCTGCAAATGGGGCCTTCCCCCCAGAATGACCCATCCTACATCTCAGATCAGTGTCACATTCCATAGAGCTGGGTGGGGGATTATTTTCCTGCCTCGTGGGTGTTTTTGATATTTTGAAAATTGTTCCCATCCTGAGTTGGGACCTAAAGTCAAAATCTCAATTTTTTTTGTCCACTGGGGGGAAAAATGGTTTGGGTCAATCGAAATGTTTTGCCTCAATAATTTTGAACTGGTGTATTTTCAGTTTTGACACCTTTTTTAAAAAAACTGTATTTTAGCTTAAATTTGAAAACAATAAGCTGTTTCAAACTGGAAAGCCAGACTGCTTCATTCTAAACATGTCAAAATGAAACACGTCAACAATTTTAAAACCCTTTTTTCCAAACTCTTTTTTTTTAGTACATTGAAACTGACCCGCAAAAAGCTTCATTTTGGATGATTTGGCATTTTCTGATGAAAAAAACCATTTTATGAAAAAATTCCCAACCAGCTCCATTCAGGACCGAGCAGATTTAAGGTTTGGTATCCCATGAACCATTAAGACGAGCAACCAGGGCTTCATTCCAACAGAGAGGAGCTGAGATTCCCCACTCTCCAAAGGGATATTGTATTTGTTTCTAGCCATGATAAATTGTGAGGTATTGGCCCTTAAAAGCATGACATGATTTACAGAAAAGCTCTTTTAATGGGGTTTCTAGTTATAAATTTTCTCTCTCTCTCTCAGCCTTGGACTCATGATACTAAAGCACTTGGATTTATATGCAGAAGGATATGAAAAATACTGCACCAAACTTTTTTTTTAAAACTCTCCAAACCAGGCTGTATATAAAAGGCATGTCATAAACAGAATAAAGGAGGGTGTGCTGTCATATAAAGGCTCCCTTGCCACTTTTTTGGGTCCGTCTGCATGATTTACTCACTCACAAGTAATGATGTAATGGCAAAAGAAAACGTTAGTCACCAGCGGTTGGAACAATTTGCAGCCCACTCACTCCTAGGAGTATCAGCCCTAGGATGGATATTGTGTTACTGCTTTGAACGCTAGTTCAATTACTGTCGTCTACATGGCGACCCCATGTCTAATTAGGTTAGTCCCAGGATATACATGGGAATCTGCCTCACGCCCTGCTTTCTATTTCAATGCGCTATAGAGTTGGGTTGTTTCAACACCCTTGTTCATTCAGTCCTGCATCCATCCGCTCCCTGTTCCACAAAGTGTGTCCCAACCTCCCCGGGGGGCCCCTCTTCTGGGTAAGAAGGGAATTTACCCTCCACGCTCATGCATTCCTGGGCCTTCTCCAAGCATCGTTATCTGGGTTCAATCGTAGAGTAATTGGCAAGATGTTCTTCTAGGGTTACTCTTCATTATGGACGGAGCAGAGGCCATGGAACTCCCTTCTCTTGTAACCAGATCCATAGTCTAGCCCGTGCTCCTGGAGAGTAATTTATAATCACGTTGGGGACTGGTAGAGTGATCCGAGCCACCCCGGGATTAGCCGCTCTGTAGAACAGCAGAAACAGATACTGTGCAGAGCCCACTCACGGCTCGGTTCACTAGAGACTACAAGGAAAGATTAAGAGGAATTAGCTGCAGGATGGGGGTGCAGGTGTAAATAACTATTGTTCCTTTGGCTGGCTAGGGAGTGTGTGTGAATGTGCACACCGGACACATGGAGAAATCAGTGAGGGGTCTGGGGTGAAACACTCATTTTGCTGCCCACTCCCAGTACTTTCTTTTGTGCTCTTTTGAGCCGGGCTGGGTAAAATTCCCACCAAGGCTCAGAAGAGAACAGAAATCTGGCTTCTCATATTGTTCCTCACCGGGGGGGCTAAGGATCTACTGGCTCAAAACGTCTTTTCCTGCTTTGAAACGGCGAGCTCGAGTCACTAAATCATGACAAATGTCTCTGGCCACTCCTGACCTGCTCTTATCCATCACTCCAGGGGCCTGCCACCGCTTTGCCTGCAGTAGGGTGTATTCGAGGAACGCGAGCGCTTGGAGTTCCCAGTGTCTCTAGAAGAGAAGTGGATTTGCGAGGCGCTCGTTCCCACGTTCAACAGCAGGCCCGTAGACAAAAGGAGATCCGCGCAGCTCATTAGGAAGCTCTTAGAACTCCGTACGCCAGCAGAATAGAAGATTAGTCAGAGCTTCCCACAACCTGCCAGACAAGAAACCCAGTCACCAAGGCAATGAGTTTTCCCGGCTCATTCCCACATTAGTCAAACTTTTGAACTTTCAGGTATGGGAGCAGCTTCCCCTGATGTTTTGAAGAACTTCTCCTTCCTACATGCTCTTCCGTCTCCAGTGACTTTCCTCAGTTCATACCCTATCCCAGGTGTTTCTAGAGTGCCCATCACCATAGGATCACTAGTCCCACCTTGTGCCTCTCCCTCCCCCAGCTGTATGGCAATTTCCCATGGGTATTGGCTCACCGAGACCACCCTTGAGGGTCACCATCTCTAAAGAAAGCCTGGTTTTAATAGTCCATCAAGACCGCAATAGAAGTGACCTCACAGGGAAAGGGAGACCAGGGTTAGAATTGCTCATGAAAAACCCACATCTTTAGGGGACGTAATGTCTCAGGGAACAGGCCAGGGAATACGGAGCCTTTCACCACTATCTCTAGTGCAAATCCGGATTAAGTGGGCAGTGCCAGTCAGTGCCATCCAAGGATTGTTTGTTGCCCAAGGTGAAACAAGTTGTTGATGGTAAATTCAGTTTCTAGGGGATGGGGAGCATCAGCATAGGTTCTACCCATCAATCACAACCGGCTCTAAATGCCAAGGAATGAATAAGCCACCAAGACTCTGTCCCCTCCTTGCTGTCGGGGACCCTGTGGATAAATGATTCCAATCCCCAGGACTTTTCAAGCTGGCACTACAATTAAACAAACAAACCAGCCACCGCTTTGGGATTCCTGCCTCCCCTCCCCTCCCATTCAGCTCTGGGAAATGTCCCCCGAGAGCTGCCAGCTGTGAAAAGCGGCAGCAGCTGGAATGTGGGAGTGAGGGCAGAACTGATGGAAATAAAGCAGTGGTAGGCAGAGCATATCTGTTACCTTCTGGTGACCCGACACCTCCGGTTTAACCCTGTACGTGCCTGGAATACGCTGTCCACACAGCTTCTGTCAACATCAACTCCTAACCTCAGGTTCCACCAGGGACTGCTAGAGCAACAGCTGTAATGTCAAGAGTGGGGGCCTCGCAGGGGTATTTGGGACAGGCTTCCTGGCTGCAAACATGGCATCCCAGTGGGGAAATTTTCGTATTCCATGCTATGCGTGTGCTGGGGCTAAACAGAGGCCTTCAGGGGAGCTGAGAGAAACATCCAGGCGATTAGCTGATTTTTGAATGGACGTTTTCTTGAACGGACAAAATGTAATCTGTGTGTCTGGTCAGGTCTGGGACACTGCCCGAGGGAGATTGCTTACAGTGACACAGCTCAAAACGTTACACTCCCCCGGCCCACACACCGACACAATATGGAGAAGGCACAGTAAACTGTCAGAGACAGCCCAGGGAGAAAATGAAATCCCCAAAGACACCCGTGCACAAGATCACCTTTCCCGAGGTGAAAGCTTCCCAGCGCACAGCAGAAATGATTGTCGCCATTCTCCGTGGGGCACGGCTGCGTTGTCACTTTGTGTGCATGTGTCCTGGCAGGGGCTGGGGCTGGCTTCTGAGCACAACCCTGCTGCTAGCATCACCAGTCAGGCGGATCAGCTCTAAGCCCACTACAGGAAGTGTGAAGCTGCACCTGTCTGGCTCTCACCTCCTGGCATGCTGGGGCAGCGTGGAAGGCTCTGTTATCACGGTACAGGGGAGAGGAATTCTGCCTGATAAGATAGCGCTCGCCCCTCAGAGCTGGCACCCAGGGCCTGCCTAGAACCCACTTCAAAGTGTCTGTCACCAGCACTGGCCCAAACTGCCTGACACGGGGCTGCTGGCAGCTGTCACTGCACCTCGCAG